TATTTAAAATTTAAAGAAAGATTTATATATATGTTTTTAAATAAATTTAATTTAAATGATTTTTTTGTATAAATTTACATATAAAATTAGGTAAATCAACTCGTTTGATTTATAAGTAATAACATTCTAAGCCCTTATATGTGGACATGTCCTATGACTGATAAATTAATCTAAAAATTAATCTAAAAATTATAAATTTAATATTTATTATACAATAAAAAAAATGGGTAATATTTTTTTATAGTCCTTTCTTATTCAGTATTTTTTGTTACTAAAAAGCAAATAAAGTAATACGAAAATATAGGAAACCCATAATAAACCAATCAGAAAGACAATTAATGCAAAAGTTTGATTGTTGGTATTAGGATAATCAAGATTTATCTTAATTGAAAAAATTGAAATAATAATAATATAGACAGATAAAAGAAGAATTAAATTTGAATTGACCAAATTTATCTATTTAATTTTTTTGGTTAATTTTTTTAGCAGCTCTAAGTCAGATAAGTCAGATAAGTCAGATAAGTTAGGTAAGTCAGGTAAGTCAGGTAAGTCAGATAAGTCAGGTAAGTCAGATAAATCATTTAAAATCTTATCATCAATTGTCACAGGTTGAATTTCATTCTTAGTATTAGAGGTTCTATTTACGAGTTTTTTTCGGATGGATAATATCAACGCTATAATTCCACTTAAACCTATAAAGCCTGATGTTGTGATAAAGCCAACTTTTCCTATTAATCTTTTTTCAACACACCACAATAGCACTGCTTCAATAATCATAGTAAAATTTGCTCCAAGTAAGTTTATTGCAAGTAATTTATTTCTTTTAACCAAATGCTCCAAAACTTTAGTATATTCTTTTTTAAACTTTAACATATTATACTTTTTTTCTTGAATGTTTTGAGTCATCATGCTAGGAATTTGCTAGGAATTTGCCAAGAATTTGCTAGGAATTTGCAGGAATTTGCTAGGAATTTGTAAAAAAATTTTTTAATAAAAAATAAACGGATAAAAAGATTTTAAAGGAGAGGAGTACTAATAGTAAAAGTCCTCAAGTATTTTAGTAACACAGTACTGTAATAAAATAAATTAGGTAATAACGATAATCAATGCTATTTTTAGTATGTACGTATTAACATTAAAGGGTGAACAATGAATAAAATTAGCAATGGAAGTTCTAATTATTAATTGATTTATTAGGTTAACAATTTCATGTTAATATCGTTATTTGATCGATCAGAATTTATAACAATATATATATATGTATATAGTCTAGAGCCTCCGGATTTTTATAGTAGCAAAATAGCGATATCACAAAAATAATCAAACTAAATTCTTTTTATTCTATCAGCTATAGATAATTACATTTGAATATGTACTATTTTTTGCTGCTATGAAAATCCAAGGGCTCTGATATAGTTTGGACTTTTCGAATTAAGTGATCTCTGTCGCTCTTCTAAAACTGCATTCCTTTATTTAAATAATAGAATAATTAAGGATCAACTATTCCCATTAAGAAGGAATAATGGAAATAATGATTTAGAGTATTGATTATAAATGAAAGATGGTTTTCTGTTTGTAAAGAGAATTTGTTGTAAAAAGAATTCGCCACGTAACACATTCCAAGCATGAATAATAGACCCTGTAACAAACCCTGTAGCATTCAGACTACTACTGATATTAATAATATCTATATTAATATACATAATAACTATCCTAATTATTTGTTGTATACTACAACGATACAAGAAAAGAC